GCGCCTCGTTAACTATAGCGTAGTACTAGTAGCCCTCGTTTATAAAGGTAGTAATAAGTAAGGAGTTATTAATTATAACCTATATTAAAGTAGGCTCCTCTTTTATATAGGCGGATAATTCTTCCTTCTCCCTTACTAGCGCTAGTAATTAGGGCTCTAGAGCCCGTTTTTACTCCGGAGCTACTCTTTTTCCTCTAGGCCTAAGAGGGCGGAGTCCTCCTTATCGTTTAAGGCGAGGAGCGGTTCTATCTTCGCCACTTAAACCGCTATAGGCCGCTTAGCTAAAAGGAAGGGGCATTTTAATATAAAGTACGTAGATGCTCTATAACGTAGGTAGCGGCTATTAGCTTTCCTTTTCCTAATTTCCTCGCTCGTTACCTACTTCGCCTACTACTTAAAGTATAGGGCGGTATAGGGGGTAGTTAACGGTGTCTTTTTACCGCGTCTAGCCTAGTCTATATAGGTAGCCGATATTAGGGTATCCCTATCTATATCGATAGCCGGTTATTTATCTTATAGAGGGGTAGTAATCCCGTTACCGCTATACGGCGTACGCTTATAAAGCTTCTAGAAACGCGGCGTCTATTTATAGCCCTAAGCTACCTTTATTAACCGGCTTATATACTCGCTATAGTTAGTAGGTATAATTATAAGGATAAGTAGCTCCTATAAGGCCGGCGTAATCGAATTCTATAGCTATATAAGTTTTACGCTATCTTCTTATACTATAGTCCCCGCTACTTATAAGAGCGTCTCTTTAAAATTAAGAAGGAATTTACTAAAGGTTTATCCGTTTCTCTACTTAAGGGTCTATAGCCTATCTTATACCTTCTCCCGCTCCTATACGTTACTAAACGTATATATAAGGTATTAAAAGAAGTCTTATAGGTCGCGTCTACCCTTAAGGCCGCCCTTATCTTAGCATCCGGAGATCCGCTATATCTAAGGCTCTAGTAGCGTATAAAGAAGTAAATACTACGCTATATCGCGATAGCTATTTAGGCCCTATTTCTCGTCGGTTATAAACTTCGTTTATAGCTAGCTAAGGAAGAAGTAAAAGAACTCTAGCTTACCGTCCTAAGTTAGCTAAGGGAGCGGCTTCCGCGTTAATAGTATCGCCGCTATAACTAGCGTTACGGAGGCCGTAGGGGTTAGAGCTAGTCTCGTAGACGGCTCCCTTAGTATAGCGAGAACCTCGTCTTTCTCGCTAGCCGTCGCGCTTTTAATCGCTTCTAGGATAGCTATAATACTTCCTATCTATCTAGGGAGGGGCGGAGTACTTCCTTAAGGGGGAGGCGCCCTCTTTAGAGAGATATCTATTAGATCTATTAGTTAATAGCTTATACTATTACGGAGTAAGTAGAGGCGTAGGCGTAGGTGCCGTCCGTAGGATAATATTAATAAGCTATATAAAGCTCTCCTATACGCGGCTAGCCTATATATATACGTGCGGGATCCGGCCCTCCGCACGTAACTATACGGCTTAGGCCGTAGCCTAAGCCTATAACCTATAATAGTTAAAGACTCTTATATTTACCCCCGAATCCGGCTACTAGGCCTAGGTAGAAGTCGAAGCTAAATTAAGCTCCGGCCCCTCTAGGTCGTAAAGTAGGCTCCTTATAAGAGACTAGCCTCTTTACCTTACCTATTATATAGACCTTATATTTATATATAGCCGGTCCTTCTATCTTAGTTAGGTAGCTAAGGGGTTCTAGCCCTAGATATCCTAGCTGTCTATACTAAAGGTCTGCTTGCCTACTAATTAGTAGCTTAGGAGCCCTACTTATAATAAAGACGCTATATTAGGGCCGCTTTAAGAGGCTTATAATAACGTATTAGTCTTTAATTTCTTATAGACTAACTAGAGTACGCCCTATAGGCTTATAGTAGAGTATACTATTAACTTAGTTTTAATAGATCTTCGTAATAATCCCCTAACGAGCTAAGAATATACTTATTAGCATCTCTAGGATATAGTAGCTGCTCTTAAGCTTTAAATTAATCCCGTTTTTTGCTAGGATAATAGCTATGCCTACCCCCTTAACTTAGAGGGAGTTTTCTCCTACCTAGACTTCTTCTAACGATCCCTAGGTAAAGGTATCCTTATCGAACTATTATAGGTCGTTAAAGATATATACGCTAGCCCCTAAATTATAGATTGCTTTATCCTTAAGAGAGTCTTTACTCGTATTAGTGCTATATACGTAAGATACTATATTAGCCTATTTGCTCGAGTTATTATTATTCTATAGGACTATAATATCTTTAGCTTTTAGCTTCTACTCTATAGCTTTAGTTATATTTAAAGGGTTCTCCTTAAGGTGCTAGTTAATAGCCTCCTTAAGGTAGTCCCTAGGAATCTATCCTTTAAGGGGGTCTTTCTAAAACATCGCTCTAAAGGTCTAGTAGCTTTCCTACTACTTATCCTTTTTAACCTAGTATTGCTTATATACCGGGCACTTATATAACCCCTCTAGGCCGTTCCTAGTCCTTTAATTAGATGATCTTAGAGCGTTGTTTACGTTGTTAACCCCTAGGGTCTTCTAAGGTTTCCCTTTCTTCCTAAATCTAACCTCCCTTTTAAAGTCGGCAATTAAGGTACGCAAAGGGGTTGCTAGGAGTCCTATTCTCTCTAGGAGTGCGTCTAGCAGCTTAATCGTTATAGGCTAGCTAGGGTCCTATTCTTCGGTCCCTTTAAGGAAGTCCTAACGAATCTTTATATTATTAATAGTCGAGACCGCTAGGTCTCTTAAATCTAGGATAACTTAGTCTAGCTGCTCTACCTAAGCCTTCTAGTCCTAGGTTCCTTTCTTATTAATAATTTAATAATACCTTTTATCGATAAGGTTCCTTTCTTCCTCCGCTAAGGAGAGAACCTTCTATTTAAGTTCTTTAATCTTATCCCGGGGCGTTAGCTATATTAAGGTCTCGCCCTAGAGCCCCTTACTAATAGACTTCTTAATCACCTCCTCGATCTATATTATAGCTTTTTCTCTAGCCTTAAAGCGGTCTAATTAATCCTAGAAGGTCTTCTCTTTATACCTAAAGAGGTCCTTAGCATCTTAAAGCTTCTTATTAAAGTCTTCCCTTACTGCCTTATACTTATTTTCTTCGTTAGGAAAGCTTCCTCGGTAGGGCCTCTACCCTACCTTCTCGAGTAGCTCTTCCTAGCTAGGCCTTAGGGGCTCCTCGAGCACCACGGTCCCTTCTAGGTTAACGTACTCCTAGATATAGTGCGTTTAAGCCCATAATTTAATGCCCCTAATCCATAGGGTCTAGTTAAGGCTTTCCTTAAGTGTGGTAATATACACCTCCTACTTCTAATATTGGGGGCCTAGTGTTATCGTGTGTTTTACCTCCTGCGAGGGATGCACGCGTCACGTTGACTTTGCGTAGTTGTAGGTGTTGCCCCTAAATTTTGCTCTTTTCCTCGCGTTAACCCTAAGGGTGAAGGATATATAGTGCGTTGAGATTCGTGATAGCCTCACAGTTAGTAAAGGAATGCGAAGGATAAAGAGCACCGTAAACCGGGCTTATAACTCTCAGCAAGCTAAGAGCGCGGGCGGAAGGATAAGGGCAGGCACAATTAAGTCTAAACGATAATGCATGTTTTCTATCTATCTATGCGACATTAAGGGGGTATTTATACGAATAGATACCAATCTAGGACCCGTGGTGGCCCTAAATCAGTGCCAATTCCTATATATCCCGATTAGGGCAATGTTCCTCTACTATATCGATACCTAACTTAAGTCCTTGTGTCTGACCTGCCTCTTTCACCGGAGTTTATACGTGTGCGGATTAGACCGTCAGTCTGCTCCCTCTGACAGCCACATATTCCGTGCTAAAATTTTCGCCTCTGCTACCTGTGGCCGAAGCATTACTCAGCACCAGCTCCAGCCGCCCCACAGTCAGTAGGGTCAGCTGGTCATTCGTAGTAGTAGTAGTAGTAGTAGTAGTAGTATTAATTACCGTCTGAGACATCCTCATAAGAGCCAAAGACGTGCTAGGCTGGGTATAGTGCAAGATGAGAGTGCTCGCCGGGAACCCGCCGTGCGTTCCTTACTTCTTCCTGTCTATCTGGCAATTCTTGGGCTCTGCAGCGGCTCGGATGCTCGTGTGCCTTCCACGTCAGCGGGGTCCAGGCATGGCAGCAAAGCCGTAATAGTAGTCAATCTCTGTTCATGGCCGGATGACTGAGAGCCCGCGCAGTCAGATGGACCGTAAGCCCCCTCGAAAGCTTACGGGTAGAAAACAAAGGAAAATAAAAGGGAGTATGTGTTAGTTGAGGGTTGCCCAAAGCTAATGGCTATGGCAGATCCGATCAAAGAACTCTGGCCCCGTTACCAGCCCGAGGAGCCGGTCAAGGCCCGATCCTAGTGCCTGGTTGATGGCCTTGTCCGCCGTCGGAGCCAACCTCAGGCGGTGTCGGACGCCTAACTTTCAGCGGTGGAAGGGATGAGTGGGTAATTTTCTCCTCCCGCACGAGCATTCGATCCGGGCCTCTTTGTGGTAGAACTTTTGTGGTAGTCTGTGAAGTCACCGCGTCCGCTCCTTGCGGCAAGCAGGTTGTGGGGATGCTGTTATCTGGTGTGCAGCTCCGGGGGACACCTGAGCAAGGCCTTGAACTCTAGGTTCTTGAAGGTTTAGGATCTTGTAGTTGCTCAGGACAGCCGCGGCCCACCAGTCTTGAAAATCGCGCCTGGCCGCAGCTTTGGCATTTCTCTTAATGAACGCATAGGTTGGAGGCCTATCAGGGCCCACAGCTTGGCAGCCTTCCTTTGCCAGATGGTCGGCCCGCTCGTTGCCAATAATACCCGCATTGCCGGGACATCAACGCGTGCCGACGTCTCCATGCCGAGCCGCATCCTCGGCGACGTCTCCTCCTCGCTTGCAACGAGATCGACAGGCCACCTCGTATGGCTCCTATGGCTACCGCGTTGTCAAGGCAGACGACTATCGGGCGTTGCTGGTGCGGAGTGATCGGGGACCGCTCGGAGTTATTCGGGGGCGCTCTTGACCTCTGCGTCGTATACCTCGGCAAGTGGAATCCGACCGCTGCCGTACGACACTTCATCGGGACCCAGCCACAACGAGTACCCATACCCGCAGGCGCCGTCCTCGCTCTGCGAACTGTCAGTGTAGACGATGAGCGTGTCTTCGGGGCATGCCTGGAGCCACTCACAAAACTCCCTCGCCGCCTCAGTCTCGTCTAAGCCCCCTGTCGGGTCAGGCTGCGGAGGAGCTGGGGGGTTGGACCGAAGTCTCGGGGCTTGGGGCGTCATTTGGTGAAGACGGAGCAGTCGCGAAACCTGCTGCTTCCGAACCGCGCGGGACGGCCATATACCATACTCCGGCATCAGCTGCCGACCAGGCATTGGGAGGATGCTCATGCGGGCAGTCAGGGGTGCTGGGTAATCAGGGAGCGTAAGCGGACCGCGGCGCGCCTCGGGGCGTTCGTGGGCGGCAGGGTTATAAGCGGTATCTAGGTCTCCCGATGGAGGACCACAACAGGCGTGGGGAACGGCCATCTGCTGCTGGTCTCTCACGTCGAGAAAAATGGAACCACCTGCCTCTCGGTGCTCCGCGTGGCTAAATTAAAAAGTACTAATATTAATGATGAGTTTAAGCGGAGGGCGTAAGCGGTCAAATACTCCTATATAAGCTGCTTATCAGTGTCGTCCGTGGATTTAAGCAATGCTTTAGAATCTCTTAATTTGCGCGCCTATTACCGCGCTTAATGCGCATAATATACTTAACGTCCTTTTCCGCTAGAATCCTAGCTTTACTACGTAGGGTTTAGTTATCGTGCGGGTTAGGATAAGGCGCTACGCTTACGGCGAGAATCTTATATATCTCTAGTTTCTACCCTATAGCCTACCCGGTTCCCACCCGACTAACTTAACGATTAGGACTTAAGGCTCCTATATTAGCTTTTAGCGGAGCAAGAACTATGCTATATTTAACGATATACTTCCGAAAATGCAAAATTCTATAGCAATAATTCTATAGAAAATCTCGCGCTTTAGGCTCGGTTGCTTAACCGAAGTATTAATCATACACGCCGCATATGCCTTTATGATGTGCTGTGGGCTATAGTTTACCCGTATATTGACTTTTGGGGTTAAAGCTGGAGTACTGTTCTGCGTGCTACTATTAGCGGTGCTAACGACTGTAGCCATTGTGTTATTGTGGACTACCGTTTCGGACATTAAAAGCATAGGACTATGAGTGGAAACTAGCCATAGCGCGCCGTTTGGCTAGGCTGTTATTGGAACGATGTCCTTTGCTCTTGCTTGCATAGTAATTGCACTTATATATAACTTTAATTAAGTCTTATAGATATCGATTAATAAAGGGGCCGCTTAAAAGGAGCCACCCTATCTGATCGAAGTCTGACCTCTATTCCGTGCCTAGAACCCACTTACGGGGAAGGAACGAGCAATCGAGCAGCCAAGGAGCCCAAGAATTGCTAGCTAGGAAGGTAGAAGTAAGGCATGTGCGACGGGTCTCCGACGAGCACTTTCATCTTTGTACTATACCTAGCCTAGCACACTTTCCGCCCCATAATGCGATCTCCCAGACGGTATCAATACTACTACTACTATCATTAACCTAAAGCATAAGTAGTCAGGGGCTTGCCGGTGGTCGAGACAAAGGGGAAGAAAAAGCAGTCAGCCAAAGCGTCTAGACCCTATAGCGAACAATTCCTCCGGGCGGAATTAGATTCATTTCAAACGCCATTAAGGCGTAGTGCTAAGCGCGCGGTTAGTAATCCCGTGCTATATGGGGTCCGTTCCCTCTAAATAAACGTGCCCCCTTCATTAGTCGTCTCTCTTATTTTAAAACGCACACCTATATTCTAGCCTGTCTATGGTATATAAAGACAATTAACGAAGTGTTTAATTACGAAAAACCGAAAACCCAAAACCAAGTACTATAAAATAGCATAGGTTGCATTCGGTAATGCCGACCTTAGATCTAACGGGGTATACGCTTATATGCTATAGGTGCTATACGGCTTTTAAGCCTTTCGTGGGTGAGGTATAAGCTTGCTTATACGCCGCCCATATACTCTACACTCCGCTAGAGAATGTCCCAGGCGATGCAACAGCAGTGGAGGCCTCGAAAAAACAAATCTTGCCTATTCGCGATCTACGAAGGGTCCGGAAAAACCAGGCGTCGCGATTCTCTAAGCGTCGCAAGAACTTTATCAAAAAAGCATATAAACTACACGAAGACTGTGACGTCGATGTCTTCCTATGCGTACGCAGCAAGCGGAACAATCAGATATGGCAGTATTCTAGTGGGCTGACTCCACCTTCGCAGGCCGAGATAGTAAGTTTTCCGGTCGAATATTTATAGAATATGCCCTAACCGTGATAGGCCAATATATATCCGGTACCAATCGCTATTGGACCTAAGTACTTTAGGCAAAACGAAAATAAAAAGGAGCAAAGTCAAATCAACGACTTTAACAAGGAGGCGACAAAGGAACTAACTGTGGGTGTGAGCAGCTGTGTATACGAATTAGGGTAGTATGTAGAATGCATCGGCGTTATTAGATGAATGACTAGTGCATCATTTGCTTTGTAGATGACATCTCAATTCTTTATCAGAAAAAGAACGAGAACAATGTCAACGTTCTGATCACACGACTCGAACGACACTACGAACTCACCGATCAATGTGAAGTATCTTGGTTCCTTGGGATCCGAGTCATTCGAGCGCAATGACTCTGCGCGCCGAACCACTTTGCTACGGACGCCCGCCTTACGGACACTGGACTCTAAAAGCGTAGTGCATGGCTGGTTTTGGAACTTTTCTTTCCAACCATGACTTCCCCAGCCATTTCCCCTGGCTAGAAAAATGTACTTTTCTGTAATATCCTACAATATCGAATCTTCTCCATTTCAAACGATACTAGGAATAGCGACATGACCACCATCCTGTCTCCTTGCGACGGCCGGACACAAACATCGCATGCTCTACTCGACCCCGAGCTTCAGTACGGCCATGGCGACAATGATGCCTTATACAATCTGTTTGCGACATGGCCAGAAAGCTACTTCAGCAGTCTGCCCAAGCCGCATGACAATCACGGAGTCGATGAACGGTATTGGGTATTGCGTCAGTCACGAGTATTCTTGGACAACTGTTTTCGCCGTGGCGGCGCCAGGCGGTTATTAACCCAGTGATTCCAGGCCCCGACATGCTTGAGAGAGCGCGCTTGCGCGAGCAGATGAAATCGAAAGACACCGAAAATTACATTACATCGGTAGCACAGTTCGTTTCCAGTCCGCCTTGAGTTTCGCTCAGGAGCAGGCCAAATTTGACACAAAACTGGCTCTCGAACTGGCTAAGCATTGCCAAAGAATAGGTCCAGGGCGCGTTGCTTCAAGCGTTCTCGACCCGTCGACATCGCCCCTACCACCGTCACCGCCGTTCCAACCGAGCGGAGAGCAGGAGGAATATGAATAATGGTATGGCTTTTCCGATACAGAGTCTAGCAGTCAAAGTACATCTGCCCCTATCCAAACCGCTAATCCCTGACATTGCCGCTTTATCGGTTGATGCCCTTCAATTCCAAGTCAACGAGTTCGCAAAAGAGAATGGATTTGGTGTTGTCAGGCACAATGGCTTCGGTATTCAGGCGCGGAAAACCTGACACGTCTTTCAGTGTGATCGGTACGGCGAGCCTCCCCCATCCAGGAGCGCAGGTCTTCGCCAAAAACGGTCCAACAAGTGTGGCTGTAAGAGGAAAGTTATTGCGGAGGCCCTGAAACGGATAGACTATATGTGGACTCTACGGGCGTTTGCCAATCCGCAACACAGCTTACACAGCTACGACCGCAGGATGAATCTCTTGGCACATCTTGTTCATCAGGGGCTTATTGAATCCGTTAAGGACACAGTTGAAGTGACAAGCCGACGAGTCGGGATAAGGGCGCGTGATATACGCGGCATCATCAGAGAATACCACCCCGGCATGCTCTACACGAGAAAGGACACAAGACCCTTGCCTACTCGCACCGGCAGTCTGTCTTGACGGTGTTGAGCCACTGCGAGCCTAGCGATAGATGATCGGGCCTGGTATGTCTGGGTTTCTACTTTGGCCTCCCTCCCGGTTACCCGCTGTGCCGCTTCCTTCGCCTTGAATCCCAGTGCGAAGTCGTCGGTCTTGGCCGGCATCCACATCATATTAACAGAAACGCCATTCGCCTGGAGACGCTTGACGTGGCGATAAATCTCTCGGATCGAACATTGGCCAGATTTCTGCAGTGGTCTGGCGATCGCTTACAACGCTGATCGGTAGATCACGGTCGATTCGCTGCGTCGTAAGCCTGCCGGCGAGCAGCTTCCGGGCTAATGAATGAATGAATGAATGAGTTTATTCCGCCTGAAGGGACCCTAAAGGGCCTAGACGCTTAGCTAATTACAGTTTCTTCATTTGTGCCTCGACCACCCGAAAGGCCCACGCTTCGTACGTCTTACATCTCCAACCTCGTTGATTGTCCCGTAACAGGCAGGCTTGAGGGCCAATTTCTCCAAGTGCTCAGCGTCCTATTCTCGGCAGCTAAAGCATGGTCTGTCGCCTTGTGAAGTTAGATGATGTTAGTAATGATTATTGATCGGAATCGTCATCTGGCTTTTCCCTCTCATGTTGCGGCTCTCTGTTGAGCCTCCCTGTGGCAATCGCGAATTTGATTGCCGCTCTGACAGCTTGTTTGTCTGATGTCCAGCTTCTTAGGTAGTGCACGATCTTCCCTCCTAGAAAATACGAGAGATTCCCGATTTCGGTTCTTGCGCTTTTCGCCATAATCTTGCGCTTATTTCTCTATTTCGTGCAGCGGAATAGGAAGTGATCCGTCTTTTCTGGTTCCTGACCGCAGTCACACGGTTCGGACTCTGCAGGCCCGTTCCGACGCAGGAAGGCGTTGAGCCTACATATGCCAGTCCGAAGATGCACCAACACGTTGGCTTCTTTCCTGCTGAACATGTTATATAGGTTAGGCACGTGTATGCCGGGCAGCGCTTTATCTACTATTTTAGAGTATTTGCCTACTCGCTCTGGCAATCTGCTTTGACGGTGTCGAGCTGTTGCCAATCTGGCGATCGTCGATTAGGCCTGGTACGTCTAGGTTTCCAGCGTGGCTCTTCTTCCGGTTGCCTGCTCTGCGGCCGTCTTTGCCTTGGGTCCCAGTGCGAAATCGTCGGTATTGGCCGGCATCCACATCGTCTTTACAGCACCGCCATTCGTCTCGAGACGTCTGACGTGGTGATGCATCTCTCGGATTGAACACTGGTCGGATTGCCGCAGCGGTCAAGTAAGTATTGATTCGTCTTTTAAAATACGTCGTAGAGGTGGCAGCACGTCTGCCTGCATAGACCCTCTACCTTGCATTCCCTTCGATTCTTATCCGCTCCTTTTGCGGGGTATAACCCGTTCCAAGTCAATACCAGTGTGCTCCTTAAGCCTCCTTCAACGGCCAACTTGGAGATTCCATCCTCGATGACCACCTGCAAGACC